GTGATGGTCGTTTGTTAGCAGCAACCGCAAATTTCTATTTGATGTGAAGTCTTTGCGGTCTTGGCCACAATTTTTGGTTATGCCCAAAGTGCGGAGAACATAGAACAAGGTCCGCAGTTTAAACTCTTTGTGTGTGACTTTTTGGCATTCAGTTATTCAGGCTTCAGTCTTTAGCCTTCGGTCTGGCCAATAACAATTGATTGCCTATTGATGACTTTGGCCTATTGTGTCGGTTTGATGGACGGAGCAAGGGACATGGAACAAAGCCGAAAATAAATGCACCAATTAATAAAATAACAACTTTTGCGTGTAATTAATTGTATATTATGGCTTGGCTTGTTAATGGCAGAATATGAATCAATCTACACACACATACACTCACTATGTATACTTTACTTATCGGTCCAAAAACTACGGGCTGCTAAGGCCTACAGTAAAATATTACCGCAAGCACAATGTCGCCTGCTGTTTCACAGATGCACCGTATGCTATTTGGCTTGCTCATTTTGTTGTAATTTGTATACTCGTTCAGCGCAGGGAGACGGCCATATTGGTTTTAAGCAAAGAGACTTGCAATGTTATATAAATATATTTGTGAGCAATAGTAGTTAGAAGTATTGAGTTGAATTTATGGAGTATGATGACCTTGAACGAGTATTAGGCAGTCAATCATACCTGATTGCAGTACTCTGACTTGCTATTGTTGTGGTCATGCGCAGCAATGGGTGAATGAACAATTTATAACCGCTTAATTGAACTCATTTAGAGGGAGCCACAGCCACACACACACAGACCCCACACACGCACACACATGGCTAAGCAAATCGACCGCACCAGCGACTAAAATAGAAGACAAAGCAAGAGGCAGGACAACAGGATAGATGAGCTGTCTTAACCTAGCCGAACGACATGTCCCTATGAAATCAATGGAAAGTCAGCCAGCCACTCAGGCAATTGGTTCAGCAGGACAGCATGGACGAGACGAGTGCAGCTCGAGTCGAGTACACAATTTAATAATCATTTGGCTTATTGATACCTCGGCTTAAGTACAGCGACCAACGAAAATTAAGAAACATAAACCACAAACTTTTGATTATCAACACTCGAGCAAAGAAATCCCCATTCATACCATCCTTTGTTCACGAAGTTTCTTTTAA